GCGACAGCTGATACCACCAGACCTGCGACACTCATTGGCGCACGTCGGGCAGCATTCTAGCGGCCTCGTTTGTCAGGGGCTCTGCGGTGGGCGCGGACTAACGCCTCCCGTCCTCACCCCTTCCCGCGAGACGAACGCGGCGTGACCGAGCGTCTCCCCGCGCCACGGATGTCTCCTCCCCTCACCACCGCGGCCTCCGTCTGATTAACGACAGCGGGAACTGGAGCGGCGCGCCGCAGCGCCAGCCACCGTCTCGACTGTCGCGGCCTGGCGACGGTGGGGGGGGGGGGGGGGGGGCGACCCTGGAGAAGGCTGGTGGAGTGGGGATAAAAGTGGAATTTCTCATTGGGGGACGCATCAGGCTATTGCGTTGATGCCCTCTGCACAAGATCTGTACGCGCTGTCTTATCGTTTAAAAATGGGGCTTAATTGCTTACTTGTTTATTTGTTCCTTTATTTCAGATAATGCCATTGACATTGGATAAATTGCATCATGAATACGAAGCGAGTCTTTCAAATACACGAAAGACTTGCCCATGGGCGCGACGCTGTCCCAGGGACGACCGGGCGGGGCGGGGGTCCTCACGCAGCCGCGGTCCACTCGGTGCCCTGCCGCGCCGCGCTGCGTGCGCACACCAGTCGTCGGTGACGACCTGCCGGCGGGATCCGTCGGTGACGACGCCGAAGGACCGGCGAGCGACATCTGCTCGTCGGCGGTGCGCCGCGTCAGCCGCGCCGCGGGCGGCGATCCGTGCGACGGGTGCCGGCGCGGCGCGGCCTCCACGCGCCAGCCGCCGCCGCTGCGTCACTTTCTTCGCGTGGCGCCCCGACGTTCTCTCCGCTGGCGGCGCTGGGCCGCTGGGTTGCCATCAATATCGCTGAGGTTGCCGCTGATAGACGGCCGGTAATTGGCCGCCGTCGCCCGCCGCTGGCCCGGTGTGCGCCGCCGCCACTGGACACGCCCGGCGGAAGTGCGTGGCTCTGTTACGCCCGAGGCGAGATGTCCATTATCGGAAATGAATCGCGCCGCTGTCCATTCTACGGTAAACAATGGCATATGGTGGCCAAAGGCTTCCGCTTGTTTGCTGACGCACCGGCAACGGGAGGAAATCTGCCGGCGCTCTGACAGGGTTTCATAACAGCAGCGACGGGCTCTGATGAAAGTGACAGGCCGGCCGCCGGCGCAGACCGCGCCGCCGTACGACTACTGCGGCGGCGGCGCAGTGGCCAGAGACAGTCAGACGCGCCACGCATGTGACGACCGGGCGCGTCTGCCGTCTGCTGCCACCACTGCAGCACGTCCGGTGGCACCTTCAGAGCCGCTGTCGGCGGCAGTGATAACGGGGGCCGCTACCCGCGTCGCCCAGCCCCGCTGCGGCGGGGTTGGGCGACGGCCAGATGCCCGCTCGCGGGAGTCGCCGCCTCCCCCGGAGCCGACGGTGCCGAGTTTGTTCAGCTCGTCCCTGCCGGGCCCGTCGCCCGGCCCGCCTATCTGCGCGCCCATCAGAGTCTATCTGTCCTGATGGATCGGTGTCGTCGTTAGCTCAAATGAAGCGGCAATACATCCTGCTTTATTCGGCGAATAGCGCCAATTCGGAAGGCGTCGGGCTTCGCGGACGTGAGAACGCCGCGGATGGAATGCGCGCCGCATGTGCGGCACCGGGGCCGGGCGGGAGAGGGGGGCCGTAAAATCTCGCGTCGGCGAACGAGGCGTCATTGGAGAGCCCGCAGGCAGGCCGACCAGAAGCTGTTCACGGTCGCTGGAGACGAAGTCGCTGGAGTGCTCGTTCACAACCGCTACGGCGCGTTTCAGCGTGTGGCCGAGGACCGCTTCGCGAGCATGGAGCTCAAAGTTGCGCAAGGAGGCTTCGGGGCTCAAAGTGCTCATTGTCCATTGCTTTGCATTGCATTGCTGCTTACTGTCCACTGACTGTCCGTGCTTTGAGCCGCGGTTAAGTGAACTGGACGAATTGTGCCAACTGCAACCACACTAAACCCTGACAGCTGCAAATCCTGGGACGAACTTCAGGAGGCTGTTTGAATGTCTTATGACACAAAGCAGTCCTTAAACAAAATTTACTGATGTGATTGGATAGCAAGCTATTACTTTTGATGCCTGGTGAGGCAAATACGGTATGACATACATGACAGCATAGCAACCAAGAGGAGCCTGCTGTCTTCGCTTACATCTCTATTGTACGAAGATTGAAAAAGCGTTCGAACCTTGGTAAAAGCGTTTCAAGTTCACTGACTATTTGTGGAGAGTTCTGACTTTTATTGCGGCCTTTGAAGCCAGGAGGCACAAGAGGAGCGTTGCTATATGTCGTACAATGCTTTGACAGCACCGCCCACTACCTGCTGACCTACTCGGCCCAGTAGTTGCTAACTGACCGTGCTATGGACGGCTGGGACAACCCGTTTGCTGCTTCTCAGCTCTACAAACCCAGAGCAGAGCGCAGAAGGTCCACATGTCATTGTGATGGTCCAGGTCCTGGTGTCATTGGTCAGGGTCCACATGTCACACAATGTCTCGGCACCACCCGGCTGCGAGTCTTCGGTCTACGAACCCACGCAGACGGAGTTAATTTGATTGTTTCCGCGAATGTTTCTAAGCCCTCGATCCTCTTCCGATTCCAGCCCACTTTACCACCAAATTACTATGATTACACATGAGACCCCCATTAATTCGATATACATCTTGTCCACGGTTCTTTTTCCTTCCACCCTCCACTCCAGGGGCTGCTGTGAAATCATTACGTCGCTGTACACCCGTAATCTTATGACGTGAAAGAAATCGGCTATCTATTGAAGGCTCTTAACCCAACGTGAGATCGATACACTATCCGGACAGCGTGATACTGAAATCCAGAGTGCGGAGCCGTGTTCTCGGTTATCACAAGGGACGGTGCTGATAAGAAGAGTGCCTGAGCATTTCCGACGACCTGGCTTCTGTTGGGGTCATCTCTGACGTCAACGACGCATGCAATACAGCTGAGCGCTTATGTGTCGGCTGTATTGGCATAGCGCAGTTAAACAGCCGACATTTGCCCCCCTTACCGGACATGTTCCGTGAGCTAAATGCGTGTATTCATACGTTTTGCACCGCTGTTTATTTTACACACGCAGGTAGAAGATGTTTGTTTGCGTCTGGCGCTTCACTCCCGCTCTGTTTTGCCACAGGCCACGTTTTTGCGTCTGTTGGAGCAGTTGCGTTGATTGAAAATGGAAATTACGCGAAGGGGCTGCGGCAAAACAGCGGTGGGCACGACATCTCTTGGCAGGTCTGGCTGGCTCGGGGCACGAGCGACCACGCCAAAACTGACCCTGCCACTGGCAGGGCCCGGTCGCCACCGTCGTTAGCGAGGGGAGGCTCGCGTTGGATTGCAGGCCGGCCGTGTTCATTCCGGAGACGCCGTTCGCAAACACGCCCCTGCTCGACGGCACAGGTGCAGGTCATCGCTCACGCTGGCGCGCCATCGCCTAGGTGTCGACAATCGGGGAACACGTGCGCCACAGCCGGCGGCTGGCAGGCACACCGCCGCAGGCAGTGGGCCCGTCACGCGTCGCGCGTCACGCGGGCACGCACGCCGCCGTGACGGGGCCATGGCCGCGGCCGCAGCGACCGGCCGTCCACCGAGGCATCGCGCTGCCGACTGCTTATGGTCAGGCGACGGCGGCGAGGCTGGGTGGATGGCGTGGGAGCACGGCGGCGAGGCTGGGCGGATGGCGTGAGAGCACGGCGGTGAGGCTGGGCAGATGGCGTGAGAGCACGGCGGTGAGGCTGGGCGGATGGCATGAGGGCATGACGGCAAGGTTAGGCAGATAGCGTCAGAGCACGGCGGCGAGGCTGGGTGAATGGGGTGAGAGCACGGCGGCGAGGCTGAGCGGATGGCGTGAGAGCACGGTGGCGAGGCTGGGTGGATGGCACGAGAGCATGACGGCAAGGCTGGGCGGATGGCGTGAGAGCACGGCGGCGAGGCTGAGTGGGTGGCACGAAAGCACGGAGGTGAGGCTGGGCGGATGGCATGAGGGCACGACGGCAAGGTTGGGCAGATAGCGTGAGAGCACGGCGGCGAGACTGCACGGATGGCGTGAGCGCGGGGCGGTAAGCCTGGTTGGAGGGTCTTAACGTACCGACTGCGGCGCCCCCAGAGGTCTGACGCAGGCTGGAGGGCGGTGACTTGGTCATGTTGACAGGGGTCATCATCGGACCGATGTACAGAGCAGGAAATATTCACCGTTCCATCCACACCATCAGCACGAGAACACCACTGCATGTTAGCCTAGCTACCTCTGCATCCCACGGTGCAGCATGGCCTCGTTGGAAAACCACGTGACTTACTCCGTCGCCTGCGTGCCTTCTGGTGGAAGTAAATCGGCACAGAATAACTCCGGCCGTTGGCGACGGGTCTCGGACGTGACACACAGGAAACTCCCAAGCATATGACCGATACTGATGTTAACGTTCTCATAAGGAAACATACGCATACTTATGCAAATTCACGCGCTGAAACGCATACGGTAGTTTAAGGTGGTGTCACCGTCACCGGCATCCAGGCTTGATGCCTCTCGTTTCTTATGTTGTTTTGTTTTCATTTTGAAAATTTATGTGAGCCTGTTTTATTCATTGCTAAAACGCACGTCGTTTCGGCTTAATCACGGCACCGCCAAGATCACCGCCCAAAACCACCGCCATTATCCAACTGCATTTGGCCGCTGCGCACCTAACGTTTCCAACTCTGCAGTCCTTCGTCAGTTGCATTTGGTATGGTGTGCATCATTTTAACCCCAACATGTTTTGCGTGCCAATTCTAGCCTGTCCCTCTTCACGTTAAGCTATTTGGCTTAGTACTCGTGGTACTGTTGATGGCTCGACGCCAGCGCGGTTCCTACAGCGTCGTTTCTGCGGGTCATCAGGCTTCGGAAAAGAACTGTTGTCGGCCACTGAAACAAGCACGCAGAGGTTCACAGGCTGGCGTCTGGCCCGCGCCAGGCCGTACCTGCCAGGAGCAGCAGCTGCGCCACCACCAGCAGCCAGAGTCGAGACGCCATCCTCGTCAGCGGGCACCTCTCGCTGCGTTCCGTTCACGGCACGACGTTCGCCGAGCCGGACCACCACGAGCGGACGCACGCACTCCACCGGCACTGACGGGCAGACGCACCGCGACTGCCGGCGCCGGCCGGCGGTGGCGGGCGTCATCGAGCCCGGTGCCGGCAGCGCCATCTGCGGGCGCGGCCGCGCCACCCTCAGGACCTCCTGCCCGGTCACCTGGACCCCGCCCCGGTCCGGTGCCCTCGGGCAGGCGGCGAGCCAGGTGGGCGGCGGGCACGGCGGAGCGGCGCCACATCAACGCTGGACAATGGGCGACGCGCGGAAGGGTCGGAAAGGGGGACATGCGGAGGTCGGTCGGCCGCGACAGGTGAGCACCCCGGCGCCGGGACACGGTGAGGCTCGCTTCATTACTGAGGCGGGGAGCTGCCAGTGGACTGCCGGCATGAGCTGCCCAGAGTGCGCTCGCTGACGTCCGACTCGCTCGGACGGCCGGGGCGGCGGGCGTGCCGTAAAAGGTCCAGGAAGCGTGAGGTGTCGGAGGCGCCGCTGTCATCACCGGGCGGCCACGGTCGGAGCTGCCAAGAGCGGAGAGCACCGGCTCAGCTGTCATTCCATCGAACCCACGTACAGCATCGGTCCAGCGCGGCCCGGTGTATCGGGTCTGATCGCTGCGAACCGCGGCAGCGTAATAATGTTTGATTTGTGTATCCTTGATATCGCAGTGCGACTCGTTGCGGTCCAAGTTATTAAGCTTCTTTTAGATAACATCTGATTATTTTGAGTAATCTTGGGAACTAGGTGCTCACAGCGTCCGTCAATTTTCAGGGGCGCAGTATTCGGCTGCCTACAGTTTTCAGACGCCGAGCTGGTTCCGGGGTGCAATTTCGATGCGTACCAAGTCGATTTCTCTCTTGGCACATCGAGCAAACGCAAGCGTATTTCATTGATCGAATTGGTATGCTCGAGCAGACGTGCCAGTTCGGACAGGTAAGTCATATTTAGCGCAAAATACTTCAGCTCCTCCACGCAGCCATGATTACAACACATTAGTGCGGTCGCCGGTGCAGTCGATGAACGCCGGACGTGGTGCAGTCGGTGCCTTCTTGAACATCTTTCGGACATTTTACCAATGCACTTAGCAATTACAAAATTTCCTTCCCGTGATACCTTAGCAAATGTTCCATAACACTGCGTACAGCTACCAACTGTCCAACGCTCCGGAAACCACGTATCACCTTATCGCACCAAATGATGTTGAAAATGATAAAATACATGACATCAAAGAGCGTAACGGCACCGTCTACTTAAGTCAGTGACTTTACAAGGGGGTAATGGCTTAACATTGACGGTAACTGTAACCCACCATGGAAACGTCCCTAATGACTGACTTACCGTTTAGTATCGGTCGTACCGCGGTTGTGCAGTGTGCACTGTTATGGGGTGAGTTTTCGGGGCTCCGGATCTCACTCCCGCCCCGATAAATATTGGCCAGGACAGGAGGTGGCGGAAGGCGTCCACCAAACGGGCGACAAGAGCACGCATCGCGACGATGGACACCTTCCTATAACTGTTCGCGGTCGTGGTCGAACGGATACGGGTCCGGAGTGGGACAAGGATTTCTGTGCTCAGTGAAAGTCTTTGACTGCAACACAAGGCACAAAAATCGAAATGGGTCGTTCTCGCGTGTATGTACTTGAGGGCAGGGCTGTGTTATTACTCATTTACAATGCAGCGCGATGTGCTAAACCTCTTTCGCATAAGCTTCAAATTGTCTTGTCTAGTGTTGCTGTGTGAAAAGCTTACACACCCGTGCTCATGTAGCAAATGTGTGTGGCAACATATCCACCGCAAGATCCACCGCAAGCAGCAGGTGCTCAACGGCCCGCACGTTTTCTGCACACGTCATCCCCCTCGCTCGCGCTCATCGATTCCCGCTCCTCGATTTCTGTCAGCCCCCCCCCCCCCTCCCCCCGGTGTCTCTACTGCACTAAGTGTGGCGCCGCCCCGTGTCCGGCACCGGTCGGCTGTCAGACTGATGACAGATGACGCTCGGCCGGTAATGTGGCCGCGCTGCGCGACCGGCCGGACGCGCGCACGGCCCAGCGGCCGCTTGACGCGCGCAAGGTCCGAGCGGCCGGCCGGCGAGGCGTGATGGGTGCTCTCTCCCCGGCCCATGTGTGTGTGTGTGTGTATGGGCTGGGTCGCAGTCAGGTGATGGAATGTCGACGCCGCTCCACGGTGGCAGCTGCCGAGCGGTCATCCGCGTCCCCTGAACATGGGACTGTTATATATATATATATATATATATATATATATATATATATATATATATATCATCCCTCTCTCTTCTCTCTCTCCTCTCTCTCTCTCTCTCTCTCTCTCTCTCTCTCTCTCTCTTTCCCCCCCCCCTCTCCCTCTCTCAAACAAAAAAAAGCGTTTATTGCTCAGAACCCTTGATCAGACTGGATTACCGCATTGTGTCAGCGGTAATGCGCCAATTTGTATTATTCGCGGAAGTCAGCACAGTCAGCATGACATCTGAAAATTTATTCCACAGCTTTGTACGATTTCAAGTATTGAGGCCCTGCCAAACATGAAACTTATGACACAAAGAATGCATATTTTCAGCAATGTATGAGTAACAGCGTGCGAGTAACAACGTGCAGTAACAACGTGCGAGCGTGCAGTAACAACGAGATTCAGTCGGTCGACATTACACCACGCTAGTGTGCACAGTGTAAGAACATACCTGTGCGTGCCATGACTAGGCGAGAGCAAGTTATGCCTGTGCGTGACTCAGTGCATGCCGTTCGCTGTTGTTTTAATATCCTGCTAAAGGCACCAAATTGGACGTTGGGTGGCTGGCGGCAAATTTGATTTGTGAGCTGTTGGCGCAAAATGACCATTGCAGTCAACGCGCCGAAAACACCAATAAACGACCAACAAAGATCTGAGAGCTGGTGCTACCGCTCTCAGCCCGAGTGCGCTAGGATGCCAGCATCGGTGTCATGATTGCGCCGCGATGTGAGTGTGCCGCGCTTCTGCCTGGCTCTCCCGCTCGCGGGGGCGAGAAGCGCTCTAAACCCGCATCTGAACCATGATGACGGAGTAGGTGAGCACGAAGCTAAGCAGGGAGAGCATGGTGGTCCTCTGCACGGTGAAGAAGTCGGCGCCGCCGAAGGACAGCGGCCGACGCGTCCGCTCGATCAGCAGCTGCAGCGAGAAGCGGTCGGCGGCCGTCAGCAGATGCCGCGACCAGCAGCTGCCTATCAGCGTGTCGTGCAGCTGCTGGCTGCCCTCGATAAGCTTGCTGCCCACGGAGCACACCGTCGCCAGCTTGAGCACGCTGATCAGCAGGAAGAAGGTCATGGCGGAACGCTGGACGACATCTGTGTCGCCGTTGCGGTACTGGGAGATGTTGACGTAGCCGCCGACTAGGAGGATGCCAGTCACGCTGGTGTGCAGGCTGGCGGTAGGCAGGGAGCAGAGGTCGGCCGCCTCCTCTGCCAGCGCTCGCACGGCGCCATACGCCTCGGACAGCAGGCGCAGCCGCCGCGACAGCAGGGTTGAGACACGCGGCGACGCCAGGTGCGCCGGAGTCGGACTGTGGTCGCCACCGCCGGCTGCCGGCTCCTCGGCGGTCCGGGCGCGGGACTGGTCAGGCTCTGAAACGTCGCCTTCGACGCTCCAGATGACGGGCTGGTCCGGGTCTGGAAGGCGAGCCTCCACGTCCCGGGTGGTGGGCTGCTCTCCGTCGGTGTGGGCGAGCCCCCCGCTGAACTCGGCGGCTGGTTTGATTTTAACGCCCCTGCCGTCTCCGCCGCCGCCTCCACCTCCGCCGTCACTGCCGCCACCGCCGCCGCCGCCGTCGTCACCGCCGTTCAGGCACTGGCAGGCATACTGGGTGAACTGCGCTGTCTGTGAGACGATTGCACTCTGAAATCCGATGAGAACCAAGTCGAAGGTGAGCGTCATGGCAAATGACGTGATGACGAAAACCACCTGGAGGATCAGCACCACCCAGTACCCTGGCGGCTCCCGCAGCGCCGCAGGCACCATCACCGGGAACAGGTAGACGGGATGGTGCAGCTGACCGCCCGCGAAAAAACCGCCCACCCAGATGAAGCCCGACAATGTCGTCAGGGCAGCGAGGGTGATGGTGTGTTGTCTGAAACTGACATCGTCACACGTCCTGTGGTAGGTGGCGCTGGCGCGCGCGAGCGCAGTCATCCGGTGCAGCAGGCGGTGCAGCCGTCGCCGCTGGCGCGACAGGTACAGCAGCAGCACCAGCGCGTGGTAGGACGTCATGGCGATTATCGAGGCGTACAGGAAACCGAAGACGTTGCTCGCCGTCACCGCCTCGGCTGTGTTGGTGGCGATGGCGGTCAGCGTCAGCGCCAGCGCCAGGAGACGAGCGGCGCGCCAGCCGGTCGGCAGCTCAGCGTGCTCCACGTGCAGCCCGGTCAGCGTCAGCACCGAGCCGGCCAGCAGCACGCCGCGCAGCACGCGGGTCTGGTTCAGCATGCTGAGACGGCGGGTAGACCGCTCCGCGCTGGTCACGTCCGGACAAATGGCCGGCCGGCCGCAGTGGCGTCCTGAAGACGCCGGTTCTGTGCGGCGTCCTGGAGACGCTGGTGATGTGCGGCGTCCTGAAGACGCTGGCGGTGTGCGGCGTCCTGGAGACGCTGGCGGTGTGCGGCGTCCTGAAGACGCCGGCGATGTGCGGCGTCCTGAAGACGCCGGCGATGTGCGGCGTCCCGAAGACGCCGGCGATGTGCGGAGTCCTGGAGACGCTAGCGGTGCGCGGCGTCCTGAAGACGCCGGTGATGTCGGGCAGCAGACCAGGCGCCCCGCCAATGCCGGCGCTGGCAGCTGTGAATGGTTACGAGCCCGCCGACTGGGCCGCAGGCTCCTGTACCGAACTGACTGATGTCCGACTCTGTAGTGAGCGGCCGCAGCGAGGAACGCCAGCATACATTCACATACGATGGCGCGCCGTTCGATACGAGGCGCAAAAGATATTGCATAACGCGAGGTCAAAATGACGCCAAATCAACATAGCAAATAACTCGCATTATATACGAACAGCCTGCAAACTCAGGAC